TAGCGTGGTTTTAATTTGCATTTCCTTTATTGCTAGAGATGGTGAGCATTTTTTCATGTATTTTTTGGCCATTTGAATTTCTTCTTTTGAGAAAGTTCTGTTTAGTTCACTTGCCCATTTCTTTATTGGTTCATTAGTTTTGGAAGAATTTAGTTTTTAAGTTCCCTATATATTCTGGTTATCAGTCCTTTGTCTGATGTATAGTTGGCAAATATTTTCTCCCACTCTGTGGGTGTTCAGAGAGAAATTTTTGAGAACACCTTTGAGAGCAGAGAATAAGAGTTTGGGTTTGGGATCCTGCCCTTTCAGGCTGAGTTTCTGCACAGGACCACAAAGCTCTGTAGTTTGATTCATGCCATATCAGGTCATCATGCCAGTTAGGGTTAGGGATGCTGTCCAAATTAGGCTTCCTTCTAGGGCCAAGTATCCAAAGTTAGAGGTAACTAGACCCCTGAATTTGTGGCTTCATCTTGCCCTGTGAAGTCAGAGTCATTCCACAGGTATGGTGCCTCTTCTTGGATGGTCAGCTGAATTTCCAGAATTAGCTGGTAACATGAATAAAATCGATGGCAAACATGAGATGATAATAATGATAATGGCAAGTTCTTGTGGAATATTCACTTGTTCAAGGTCACTCAGTGAGAGTGGGGCTTGGAATAATAACTCATGCAGAGTGGCTCCCAAGCCCACCTTTTGTCAATCAGTATCTATAGATTAAATTTATGAAGTTAAAAGGTTTTACAAGTTACCTGCATAAATGGAGCTAGCTATAAGTTGAACCAGAAGCAGCCTTTATTTTCAGTGCTGGGGATGGAACTCTGGGCCTCATGTATGCTGGGAAAGAACCACTGAGCAATACCCCCAGTGCAGCTTTTAACAATTTGATTGACATGAAGAAAAACTCCCACAAATGTGCAAAACAGAGTGCCAGTCATTTTGTCCCTGTGGCAGCGGTCAATTAATCTGAAGACCTGAGGAGGAGGTCACTCACTCTCCTGGCTGTTAGGACATTTAGGAAGTACAGCCTGGGCCTTGTAGCAGCCTGAGTCTGCACTGTAGTGTGTCTTGAACCATAGATGCTTATTAAACTGGTGACTTTCTGTATTCAACTCCCAGAGCAGCTAATATTTGTTGAGTATTTACTCTGTGTTGCATACCCTTTTCCCCCATTATCTCATATATCTTCCTACAAATTTGTGAGATACCTATTTTACAGATGAGGAAACTGAAGCACAGCCACACATACAAATAGCACTGGGTTACCTGTTAATAAATGACAGTATCCAACTCCAGGTTGGTTTATGTCACGGCCAACTGTCCATCACTGTGAAAAAGTACCTGGGGAAACAAGTTAAAGGAGGCTCATATTTTCAGAGGTTTAGCTCTGTGGTTGGCTGGGCCTCGTTGCTGTCGTCCTGTGGTAAGGCAGAATATCATAGCAGCAGGAACACGTGGCACAAGACTCTGCTGGCTCACTTCGTGGCAGGTAGGAAGCAGAGAAAGCAAGCAAGGAATCAAGGGCAGGATGTACCCTTCATGCCAGCGATTTACTTCCTTCATCTAGGCCCCACCTCCTAATAGCCATTTAGCTATGATTCCATCAATGGATTAATCCACTGATGAGGGTAGAGCCCTTATGATCCAGTCATCTCTGAATACTGCTGCATGGAGGACCAAGCCTTCAGTGCATGAAGGGGACATTTCATATCCAAACCACAACATTCTGGTTCTGGGCCCAGAAAGGCAAACCAGAAAGGGCTTTGCTGCCCTTGTTTCCCAAGATGATAGGATTCCTTGGGTCTGGCGCTGGGCTAGGGTCCATACTTCAACAAGTGCTCCAGAAGGTTCCTGGGCTACCCAATGAGAAGCAGTGACCTGAGCAGCAGTTTGTTATTTGGTTGTAGTTCAGCTTCAGAAATTTCCCAAAACTATTAAAGCCCTCCCTTTTTTTTCACTTGATCCAAAGTGGGGGTGGTGTTGTGGGTGGTGACCTTTTTTAAAGTGTGACAATGTGTTCATTTACTCATTCAATTAGTCAAAAGTATATAAGTACCTACTCTATGCCCTGCCCTATGCTGTGGCTGCAGATACAAAGGTGGGTGGAACCCCATGTTTGTTCTTCAAGGGGAGCAAGTGACCTGCCCTGTTGTGTGGAGCTGCCCATGGTGGAGTTGGGGAAGCTGCAATTCCCTCTGGCTTGGTGACCTCTGGAAAGAGTCACTTTGTTCTCTTCTCAAATGATGCTGTTTGAATGCCTTCTCCTTTGTGAGGTCTGTGGCCCCCACCTGAGAAGGGCTTGTTTTGTTTCAACCCTCAAACTCAGCTCACAGAACCACAGGCTGTCAGAGCTAAACAGACTTTGAGAATTAATTCATGTCCAGAGCCTTTGAACTTTAGTGAGCAGAAGTACTGGGGAGTTTATTAAATCTGAAAATGCCAGGAGCCTACCCCCCAAAAATCTGATTTGCAGGGTCTTAAGTAGGAACCCAGGAACATGCATTTTTCAAAAAGTTCCTAAGTGACCCTGGTCTTCAACTCTGGCTGCACTTCCTGGAGAGTTATATATAAATGTCAATGCCCAGGCATCATCCCTGGAGAGTCTGATCAGTAATTTTATTTTATTTTGTGGTAGTAGTACTCGGGTTTGAATTTAGGGCCTCATGCTTGCTAGACAGGTGCTCCACCACTTGAGCCACACCCTCAGCCCTTTTCGCTTTAGTTAGTTTCGAATAGGATCTTGTGTTTATACCCTGGCCTGTAATCCTTCTATTTACACTTCCTGCATAGCTGGGACCACAGGCCCAGCTTTTATTGGTCAAGATTGGGGGTTTGCGAATCCCCGCCCCCGGCATGACCTCAAACTGCTGTTTTCCTAATCTTCACCTCCTCAGATTACCAGCACGAGACTCCATGCCTAGCCCTGATTAGTGTTTTTAAAATCTCCCCTCCCTGTGATCCCACCATGCCTTAAATGGAGACTACTTACCCCCTTCCCGCCCCAATGTAAGGCAACTGAGCCTTCCAGCAGGCCTTGCTTAGGGACTGGGGAGGCACCCCCAGGGCAGCTGCTCCTTGCCACCTTCAGGGCTTTAAAAGTAGATCAGAAGAAAATTGGAGGAGGAAACTAAAACTAAAAAGTCAATGAGAAGGTCTAGAAAGGGAGAAGCCAGGGTGAAGGCTGGACAAGAAGTTCCTAATGAAATCACATCTCAGCACCCTGAGGTTTACATTCTTTTTTTCAACACTTTTTCTTTTTGGTGGTACTGGGGTTTCAAGTCAGGGCCTCACGCTTGCTAGGCAGGTGCTCTACCATTTAAGCCCCTTTGCCAGCCCAATACTTTTTCTTATTATAATAGTAATTAATTGATATAAATAATTGAAAGCATAAGAATATATGAAAACAACAAAAAATCTATAACCTCACTTATCAGAGAGAGTCACATAAAGTCTTAGCATGACATATGTCATAGATTGTACAATTATATTATATATTATAATATGTAGTCTTTAAAAATATATACCTTAATATGCTATAGAACATGTAATATATAATCTTAACATGTGATGTTAGTATCTCTTTTTTTTTTTAACATTTTTCACATTATTGTTGTACAGGGGGTACATTGTGACATTTAACAAAGATCTTACATTATTTCATAGTTGAATTCACCCCCCATCATTTCCTTTATCCTCCCTCCCCCATGCCTGGAATAGTTTCAACAGGTCTCATTTTTCTGTTTTCAGGTATGAGTAGATAATTGTTCCGCCTCCTCCCTCCCATTGGTACCAACTCCCAGACGGGGCCTGTTCTACCTTCCTGTTCTCTGTTTTTGAAAAAAATACAAAAAACTATACAGGGTGTTTCCTTGTGACATTTCCATGTATATATATGTATTATAACCCAAATTGGTTCATCTCCTCTATTTTTCTCCTTTCTGCCTTAATCCCTTTCTTATGGTGATTTCAACCAGTTTAAAAATTCTATACTCATTGTCAGATAGAAAGTACATCAACCATATTCACCTCCCTAACTTCCTTCTTTTACCCTCCCTCTCCTGTTAGTGACCGTCCCATAGTGTGACCTGTGTTCATAATATTGCTTGTATTTGAATTGGTTCTGTGTTCCACTTATGGGAGAAAACAAGCAGCATTGGGCTTTCTGATCCTGGCTAACTTCACTTAAGAACATGTTTTCCAGTTCCCTCCATTTACCTGCAAATGACAGAATTTCATTCTTCTTTATGGCTGAATGAAATTCCATTGTATATAAATACCACATTTTCTTAATCCATTCATCAGTTGTGGGGCATCTTGTCTGTTTCCATAACTCAGCTATTGTGAATTATACTGTAATAAACATGGGTGTGTAGGTGTCTTTATTGTAACGTTACTTACATTCCTTCCAGTATATACCAGGAGTGGTATTGCTGGATCATATGGCAGTTCTATTGTGAGTTTTTTGAGGAGCCTCCATACTGTTTTCCATAGTGATTGCGCTAGCTTACATTCCCACCAACAGTGTATGAGGGTTTCTTTTTCCCCACATCCTCGCCAACATTTGTTGTTTGTGTTCTTGATGATAGCCAATCTAACGGTAGTGAGGTGGAATCTTAACATGGTTTTGATTTGCATTTCCTTTATGGCCAGGGATGTTGAGCATTTCTTCATTGCTTTTTGGCCATGACATTAGAGTCTTTTTAGCCTTGTTCTGTTTTGCTTTTATGTGTGTTTCAAAAAGATTTTGTTTTTCAGATAATTAAAAATCTAAGGGCTAACCCTTTTGCTGGGTTTGGGAGGGTGTGTGAATGGAGAGGAGATGGCGGCCATGCTCCCTCATGTGCCTTTATACGTTTGTTCACCTGTGTCCACTTACATATAAGGGCTGAAGCTACCCTACCCTTCCCACTTTGCAGCCCTGGGTGCCATGCACTCTGGTGTACACTTCACATCATACTCTCAAAGTTACTTACAAGATTTTATTAAGTATAAAAAAACTTCCCTCCTTCCCATTTCTTGGAATTCTAGGGAGAAAAGACACCAGCCTGCCTCTTCCTCACCGCCATCCTCCCTCCTGTCCCATGCCCTAGGGTTTCAGCTGTCCTTCTCAGTGGGCTGAGGCTGGTATGCTGGACATAGGCTGTCTCTCCAGAGATGGTAGGTGATGGCTCCAGTGACAGTGAGCCAGGCCAGGTAGGGCAGCAGGAGCAGGGCTGCCAGCTTGTTGATGGGGTACCAGATCGGCATCATGCTCACCACCAGTCCATAAAGCAGCAGCAGGTATACCAGGGCCTGGACACAGGGGTGGGGATGGGTGTCAACACCTCTACCTTTCTGTGGTACCCTGATCCAACAAGCCAAGTCCCTGGGGCTCCATGGGAACCCAGAGAAATCTGCCAACCTGTCACCTTTTTCACCTGCTTCTGCACTACATCCACTACTGAGCTCTGCATGCCTTACCAGACCAGGGTTGTCTGCCTCCAAGAAGAACATCAGGACGGTCCAGCTGATAGGGAGTTGTAGAGCATAGAGGCCAAGAGGCAGGGCCAGGGGCCACCCAAAGCCCCCTCCCAGGTCCTTCCATACCAGGTAGGAGGCGTAACTATGGAGAGATGGTGACACAAATGCTCAGCAGGAGGGCGTTCTGTTGCACCTGGAGGAGGTTCTTTGGCATAAGGACTCTTGGTTACCAAAAGAGAAGCTTGTAGGCTGAAAAGTGGGCAGATGGGTATTGACCTCAGTTGAGGGTACAGGGGAGCTGGTGGGAGGAGTGAGGTATGGTGGTGGGGGGAGGGTATAGGAAACTTGGAGATGGTGGAACAAAAGGGTTGGTTGGAATCCTAGGCAGGCAGAGGGTCTCCTTCCATGAGACCCTCCCAAAGATGCAAGATGGAAGCGGGGAATCCCTTTGGAGGCTAGTATATAGCAAAAGCTCAGATACAGAGGGCTTGCTCCCACCCTCGTGGGTACCAGGACCATGTGTGAGAAATGCATGCTCACCCCATGACAGAGTAGATGGTTGTCCATACAAGCAATATAACTTTGTGCAATGGGCACCAGGGCAGCTTCTTGGGGCCCTCACACCAACCAGACATCCCATTACGAGTGAATATCCAGATCAGAATTGGCCCCAGGTGGGGCAGGCCCACAAAGATAGGCCCTTGAGGCCGCATTCACCTCAAGGAGGCAAAAATCTGAAAAGGCAGAGAACATGCTAATTGTGAGCTTTCTCTTCAGTCCTTTCCCTAGGTCTTCTTGTCTGCCCTCACCTCCTAACCTGATGCTATTCCCTGGCTGCAGCCCCTCACTGCAGTCTGGTCATGGAGATTCCACCCCCTTTCCCAACTTTGTCCAAGCTTCAGTCCCACTCCTCTGTACTGTCTCCAACCCAGTTCTCCATTGCCTTGCACATTTTGTAGTTTCCCATGGACTTATTTTCTTCACACCACTTATTTGGTACCGGGAGGATACTGTCCACTATTGGTAGCTGCTTCTGAGTGAAAGGCTTCCTTCCTACGGGTATCTGACTCCTAAAGGTCAGGTCCAGGAGTGACTACCTTTCAACCTCCCACAGTAGGCAGTGCTCAGCCAGGCCCACAGCTGGCCCTTAAAGACAGTGTCTTACCTAAGCTGACAGAAACTACCTTAGAAGGACCATGTTCTAAAGACAGGAGTCATAGACTTGTGGGACCTTTCTAGTCCCAAATGGGCCAGCTCATCTGCCTTGGCTTATCTCACAAGACCAGACAGGCACATTCAATGGGCCCACCCAGGCTAATCTCCTGACCAAACTCAAAGGCAGCCACTTCGGATCCCCTTCTCTGAAACCTTAGCTCTCCTCTGCTCCTGGAGGCCTTTCTATTTCCAGAGGGTCGGGCTGCAGACACAGTGTTCAGATTTCTTGTGGCGTGACTCTCAAGGAAACAACCACTTGATCTTTGATTGAAAAGCTGCCATGATCATTTGCATATTGCTTTCTTTGCATGTCTTCACACATGGGACAATGTGTAGACTGTCCTCCAACCAAGGCCCCCAAGTCAAAATCATTATTCTCACTTGTTCATGATATTTCAGCTTCCGTCCCATAATTGATGGGATTTGAAGGGGAAAGTATCTGATTATGATTATTTTCAGTGCTCCAGAGTGACTGCCTACTACATTCTTTACTGTCAGGGGTGAGGGACACTTGCCCTGGAGGATCCTGGGACAGGAAATGCCTGTCTGTGCATCTTTCTGTTTGTTTTTCTCTGCTCCTCACTGTCCTTTTGCTCATCCACCTTCCTATCTCACTGACTCAGTTTTCCTGTTTTTTTGGTCCAGAGTTGGAGGTCCCTCTCACTAACCGCCCCCAGCCCTCATCCTCCTTTCTCTTGTCATCCACTATTCCCCATGCCTCCCTGTTCCCAGGCTTTGCTCCTCTTACCTCAGGCAGTACACCTCCCAGGCCGAGTGCCTGATGATATGTGTGCAAAGCAGAGGAGGGTGAGGGACCCAGAGAAGGGTGGAGCAGGGCTCTCAACTAATGTGTTTTTCTCAGATGACAGGGTGGTGACACTGTTCCCCAGCAGTTGCTCCCCAAGCAGGTTGCTGCTTGCATGGCCACAAAGAATTGCTCTCAGCAGGAACTCCCCCTGCCCCTGGTCTGCTAGATCTTTGTGTGTGTGTGTGTGTGTGTGTGTGTGTGTGTGTGTGTGGTGCTGGTTGAACTCAGAACCTTGTGCCTACTGGTGAGCTGTCTACCACTGAGCTACATCCCCAGCCTTACTAGATTCTTCTTGATGGACCGGAGGGAGACCCTTGATGAAATAGTTGAGGGTTTGTCACTGTGAGACCTGGATATCCTGTAACAGTTCAACCTCGGGGCTACAGCTCTATTGCTGCCTGTGACCTGTGCATCCTGTGAATCAGTACTGTGTCAGTGGAGGTGTTGGGGCCCTTGGATTTCTCCAGAGTCTTTCTATAACTGGGATAATTCTGAAGTGAGGCCAGCACCAGTCTTGAAAATGAGTTCATGATCCATGGACACAGCCTTCTAGTTGGCATGCCCTGCCTGGCTTGGGCCTCAAGCTTGGCAGATCTTTCTTACACCTTTGGGACTTTATGCTGACAAGGTGACGGCAGAAGATAGAGGTGGGTGGGGAATCTGGGCAGGAGTGGCCTGGTGTTTCCCAGCAGAGTACTGCCTCCCACGCGCCCCAAAGAGGGGTAGGGGAGCGTGTCCCTGTCTGTTGGCAAAGTCCAGTCTCTGTGTGACTCAGATAGAGCTTTGTCCAACAAAGACAGACACCTCCCCTCTTTGTTCCTTGTCAAAGTTCTGAACACTCCTTCCTTGCTTGTCCTTTAGGCATGAGGTTTGTTTTCCAGATTGGCTGCACTTCACCTGTTCCCTCCTGACATCTTTCTAAGGTGGGGAACTGGGTTCCCCAGGGGGTGTCCCACCTTCACCCAGGGAAAGAAGCAGAGGGGGGAAAGGGTTGCTGTCAGTGATGAGAGGCAAGAGCTGAAATGAGAGCAGAGGAAGCTACTTCTTACCTTTTCTTTTTAAAGTTATATTTTGCTTTTGATTGACACATAATAATTTTGCATATTTATAAGACACAATGAGATGTTTTGATACATGTATACATTTTTAATGATAAAATCAAGGTAATTAGCATATCAACCACTTCAAACATTTGTCATTTCTTAGTAGTGAGAACATTCAAAATCTTCTATTTTGAAATATACATTATTGTTAGCTGTAGTCACTTTACTGTGTCACAGAACACTGAACTTATTCCTCCTATAGAATTGTAACTGTGCACCTTTTACCAATCTCTCCCCATCCCCCTAAGCTCTTCCAAGTCTCTGATATTTGCACTTCTATATTCATTGCAGCAGCATTCTCAAGAGTCAACCTAAACCTAAAGGACCATCAACAAATGGATGGATAAATGCATACAGATATACACAATGGAATCCAACTTTTAAAAACAGAAGGAAATCCTGTCATTTATGACATGTGAATTAAGCTAGACTCAGAAAGACAAATACTGTCTGATCTCACTTTTGTGCAGCAGAGTGGAAGTCATGTGTTTTCTGTGGGAGATGATAACTGGAGCTGTAGGAGTTCACCAGAGTTCCTTAATTGCAGGTCAGACCATGGTGGTAATAGTTAGCATTTATGGAGCACTCATTCTGTGACAGGGGCTTTTCATTTATTAGCTCACGAATAATTATCTCATACAAGATAGTTGTTATCCTCATCTGACAGACAAGGGAATTGAGGCTCAGAGGGGAAAGTAAAATTACATAGCCAACATGTGGGTCACCTGAGCTCCATATTGACAGTCTGGATCTAGAATGCATCCTGTTTGCGCTCAGCTGGTCATACATTCAACAAGTCTTTGTGGAGCACCTGCTCCATATCAGGATTCTTGGTCTGAAGAAACAGCAGCAAACAGAGCAGGAAGCTCCTTGTCCAAAGGGGCTTTCATTCTAGAAGTGCCATCTTTCCTAGGTAGAGTTCCTAAGGACTCAGGCTGGCAATATCCCCAGAGTCCAGCTTTCTCCCAAGGGCAGTGTCCCTCCAGCTCTGAGTGCAGAGACTGGAAAGAGCACTGGCTAGATATGGGTACTTCCCAATGCCCCCAGCAACTTGCGAGCTGGTAATGCTCTCAGCGCCTGCACAGTCTGCTTGTGAAGGAAAGGGTAGAACGGGACAGTGTTTCAGTGCCTGAGTCTGGGAGCTTCTTAGAGCTGCAGAGTCTTAGGCTCCAACCCAGACCTGCATCCAACTCAGTATCAGCATTTTAACAAGAGCCCAGATAACTCATGTGTACATTACAGTTTGAGAAGCTCTGGTTAAGGTTCCCCCTCTTCTTACCTTCTGCCATTTTAGTAGTGGGGACTGGTGAGGATCACTACTTACCAGCAGAGGGCACTCTAAGGAGAGGTTTCCAGGTGTAGCACCTGCACTAGCTCCCTCTCTCCTCCCTTCCAGACTTGCGCTGGTAAGTTTACTGACTTCTGGAATCTTCAGCTACTCCCTTACCTTGGCTGGACTTTGCAATAGACAAGGACATTCTCCCCCACTCCTTTTTAGGGCAGCTGAGAGGCAGGACTCTGCCAGGAAGCACGAGGCCACTCCTGCCTGGATTCCCCACCCACCTCTACTTGCCTGGAGTCTGGGTCTGGTTGACCTCTGTTTCTCAGAGAAGGAGCCACTGTTCCGGGACAGGCCAGCGGCGTCTGAGAACAATTTGACAGTAAGGTGAGCACCCCCCTGGGACAGCTGCAGGGGGACAGGCACTGCAGTGGGGTCACCTGCGGCTCAGGGGAGGACCCAGGCCAGCTCAGCCTGGCCTGCCAGGTGTGGGAACCCTCTGCAGAAGGAGAGGAGGAAAAGGGCTTTAGAGAAGGGCTCCTATGAATGGGTGTGAGGAGCAGGTGGAAATGTATATTGTGCGAGTGAATGCACTTATGTGTGGACTCATTCATCCTGGAACTTTATATCCTGCAATAATAACTGGAGATCTATCAGGCGTTGGGGAGGCTGGTGAGAGCCAGTGAGGAAGGGGAGGGTATGAGCAGACTGTGCAGCGGGAGTCTGGATCTCTGGGCTGGAAAAAGCAACCCTCTGGGGACAGGTAACATCAGCATTCTAAAAGCTTTCATTTTAGGGAAATGCTACCCAGGGTGATCTGGACTGTGGGCAGGACAAGCTGGAGGAATGGGTGCTGAGGAGTCAGACATGGAGTTGGGACATTCTAATGAATGAGCTGGATCCTACTCAGCAAAACTCAGTACTCTTTTCCCTCCTGGGACCTAGGGGAGGATGGAGGGAATGCCTAGGTAGCTTGGAGGCTGGGCCCCAGGGCTGAGCTAGGGGAGGGCTTTACCTGCTTGAGGCCAGGTAAATGAAAGGGCTCCTAGGAGAGGCCCAGGGGGATTTGGGAGTGGTCCATACCAACCTTTCCAGGTTGGGAGGCTGGGCAAGGGGACACTGCCCAATGGAGTGAAGGGGAGGTGGACTCTGGTCTTCAGAGGCCCCAGAAAGGTTTGTTGCTTTAGAAACAGAGCTGGTCCCTTCCTTTCATTCCCTTTAGCTGGCCCATCCCTGCCTCCAGTGCCTTGATGGTCGGGTTGAAGGGCATCACTTGCCTTGGGACCTGGGATGTGCCTTTAGTTCCTTCTACTCATGTTTGTTTCTTTCTTGTCCAACTTCATTTCCTCTACAGGAGGGAAGAAAGAGACCTGGGAATAAAGAAGGGGTGGGGGAGAGTAGCATTTTTCCTTTCTGTCTTCAGTTGTTAATAATCCGTGCTCCATCCTAATGGTGGGGAGGAAGCTCAGCAGCTTCCTTACATGTGAAATGGAGATACAAATGACATCAAGCACAGGGCTGTGTGAGATAAAATGAAATAATCCATGTAGAGTGCTTTGACACACTGATGCAGAGTAAAGCTTTTGTGCATGATCTCTATTACAGTTACAGTTGCAATTTTTATTACTGTGGAAGAACCAAAACAAATGGACAGGGCATACGGAGCTTGTTGCTCTAACCCACCTTCCCACCATTGCCAACTCACCTGATTCACCTGCATGCCCTGCAAATGGCCTGACTGAAGGCTGGGGCACTAGCCACCAGGTTGGATTTCAAAGCAAAGGGAAAAATCCACCCCACCCCGTCCTGTCCTCAGTGAGGACACAGAGAAACAGGGCTTCAATTATGAGGATGCAGAGGAGTCTCTGCCTGGAAGGAGCTAAGAAGTTGGTGTAGTTTTTGTGGGCCTGAGGAGCGAAGGAAGAAGGTGAGCAAAGCTTAACTCCAGGTGGCTGGTGGAGAGAAGAAGCAGGGGGAGTGAATGCTGGAAGCCAGTGCAGACCCTCACGAGTCAACCAGAGGGGCCGCCAAGGACTTTGAAGGAGGACGTGGTGCCTTACTGAACTCAGCTGCCAAACAAATGAATTCCATTCCCTCAGCAGCTCCTTGAGGGCTGAATAAAACGTCATTTTTGGCAGGACTGAACCTCCCATGATGCGTGATACACAGCTGGTGCTCAGAAAATGCTCATCTGAGTGCAAAAGCCCCATGTGACAGCATGTAATCAACAACACTCAGTATGGGATGGGAGTGGCAAGAGATTGCCATGAGTAGGGAGACCTTCGAGGGCTGGGGTGACAGGGGAAGTGCTACTGACCAGTAGGGGTCCAGTTGGGGAGATGGGGCAGGTGTGAAGAAATAGGAAACAGCAAGGAGTGAAAGGCAGAGGCTGAGAATGAACTGGGTATGGGAACCCAGTCCTGCCAGAGTATGGAGGTTAATTAAAGAAAATTAAAGGGCCTTGAAGAGGGCCAGTGAAAGGAGTGGAAGTGAATGCAGGAAGAGCTGACATTTGTATGGGAAGCTGCTGAAAAGTTCAATGTGTGGCTACTCTCAGGTAACCAGTTGAGCAGGCAGTGAGTATATGCTTTTGCCCTGCCTCATTGCAACCGCCCTGTAGGCCCCCACCTTTGTTTTTCTTTCATTCTTTCTGCTTCCACTTTTAGCTTTTGTTACTCGTGTTGAATGGTGTGAGTTACCTTCGAATATTTCTGGTGAAGGAGGGGCATAAATAAACACACATTTGGACAGCAATTTATCATACATGGATCCTTTTCACATCATGTCATCCCATCCTCACAATCACCTGAGAGATTTTTAATAACTTCAAAAAAAGAATTACAAAGTTTAGGGCCAGATGTGGTGGCTTATGCCTATAATCCCAGCTATTTGGGAGGAAGAGATCAGGAGGACTGCAGTTCAAAACCAGCTTGGGCAAAAAGTTAGCAAGACTCCATCTCAATCAATCTTGGATGTGGTGGTATTTGCCTGTGGTTTTAGTTACATGGGAGACTGTAGGTGGGTGAATCTCAGTCCAAGGCCTGTCTGGGACAAAAACCGTCAGCCCTTACCTGAAAAATAACAAAAGCAAAACAAAGGGGGGAGAAATGAACCAAGCCTTGTATGCACATATGAATAATAAAAGAAAAAGGAAAAAAAAAAAAAGCAAAACAAAAAAGCTAACTAGCAAGTGTGAGGCCCTGAGTTCAAACTCCAGTACTGCTTCCACAATTATAAAGTTCATACGAATACATGTTTTGGTGTGAACAATTCAAAGAATACAGAAAACAAAACAGCTTAAGAGAATTCAGTTTTCATTGTATCTTTTAGTGGTGAAAACCAGGAATAGTTTGGGGTTGTATCATTCTAGACCTGTGCTGTCTAAGACAGGAGTCACTAGTTCCATGGCAACTGAACACTTGAAATATAGTAAGTTCCAGTTGAGATGTGCCCTCACTGTAACATACATATGGAGTTCAAAGACTCAGTGTGAAGAAAGGATGGGGACTATCTCACTAGTAAGTTTATATTGATTGCCTGCCAAAATAACATTTTGAATATATTGGTTAAATACAAATATTATTATTTTATTATTTGGTGGTAGCAGGGATTGAACTCAGGGCCTTGTGCTTGCTTTGCAGGCGCTCTACCCCTTGAGCCACTCCTCCAGCCCTCTTTGTTTTAGGTATTTTTTGAATAGGGTCTCACGTTTATATCCAGCTGACCTGAGTCTCCTGTTTATACTTCCTGTGTAGCTGGGGTGACAGGGATGTGTCATAACATCCAGCTTTTACTGTTTGAGATGGGGGGAGGTCTCTAGAACTTTTTTGTGTAGGTTGGCTTTGAACCTCAATCCTCTCATTCTCTACCTCCTGAACAGCTAGGATGACAGGTGTAAGCCATCACAACCTGCTACAAATATCATTCAAGTCTCTCTTGTTCCTTTTACCTTTTAACATGGCTACTAGAACATATTTGGCTTGCATTATATTTTTATTGCACACCACAGACCCTTCTCTGTACATTTACACACACACACACACACACACACCCATACATACACTCACATATAAAAGTCTGTATCTATTCTAGTGTATACTGTTTTTGTGTGTGGTGCTGGTGATCAAACCCAGGGCCTTTGTATGCCAAGCATGCACTGTACCTCTGAGCTACACACCCACCCTATACATTGTTTTTTACATTAAGTAGATCAGAGGATGTCTATGTGTGTCTTGTTTTTTTCACTTAGAGATTTTGCTGTATCTGCACTTTTGAATAAAGGTAGATATTTTGTTTTGTTTTGTTTCTCATACAGAGTCTCACTGTGTAGTCCAGGTTGGCCTCAAACTCATGATCCTCCTTCCTCAGCCTCCTGAGTGCTGGATTACAGGCAGGTACCACCTTACCTGGCTCAAAGGTAGATATTTTAACAGGTGAAGAAACTGAGGTACATTAAGCAGTATGACAAGCTTATCTAGCCAAGATGACCGAGGTAGCATTTGAACTCACATCTTCTAGCTCCAAACTCAAGCTCATTATGCCTCAGAGTTTATGGTAATGTAGTCGGTGTTGGGGTGGGGCATGGAAGGTTTTTTTTCTTTTTTTTTAAACAGGGTATCATTATGTAGTCTAGGCTGGCCTTGAACTCCAGATTCTCCTGCCTTGGCCTCCTCAATGCTAGAATTATAGGTGCAAACCAGTATGTCTAGTTGTGGAAAGTTCTTGGCAGAGAGAGAGAGAGAGAGAGAGAGAGAGAGAACAAGAGAGAATGAGGCCTTGCCCCTGCAGTCCCATGGAAGCCAAGTTTTGACCTCTACAACTTAAAAGAATGAGCCTGGCTTTAATTCTTTTTCCCCCCTCTAGGTTCTTGGCCTTGACTGGCACTTGGGTGCAGAAGAGTCAGCCACATCGAGTGACCAAGCGGATGTGCCCCCAGGAGAGTTCCATCCAACCCTCCCAGTTCCTCCTGCTGGTGGGGGTCCCAGTGGCAAGTGCCCTCCTTCTGGTTCAGTGCCTTCGGTGGCACTGTTCTTGGTGGCTACCAGGAGCCTTCTGGAAGTCAGATGGCCAAGAGGACCCAGTGTCCCAGTCCACCCCACTACCAGAATACGAGGCTCCAAGGCAGTTCCCACCAGTCACATTGTCAGAGGTGGCTGCCTTCTACCAGGAACTGCACACGCCCACCCAGGGCCAGACTGTCACCCGCCAGTTGATGCACAAGCTGCTGGTGTTTTCTGCTCGAGAGGTGGATCACCGTGGTGGTTGCCTGATCCTCCAGGACACAGGCATTTCCCTCCTCATCCCTCCAGGTAACCACTCCCAGTTTCTTCTCAGGGAAGTTGTTCAGACTGCACATTAGGGCACCACATCTGAGGGGCACCATTGTTAGATGCCCTTATAATTTTGAAAATTGTTTATATTTCTGGTAAAACTTTAATCTACTCAAAAGGTGTACACATCATGTATCTTTTAGGACGACTTTCCAGCAGGTGGAAGTAAAGTGCTTTGTTCTAGTGACTCAGCAATAAGAGGGAAGACATGGCTTACAAGTTCAGTTAAGGCACTGTATGGGCTAGCAGCAGCCCTGGAAGGAAGGGAGGGTCTAATTTAGGTTTGCACCCAAAGTTAGCTCATAGTGGTCCCGCTCTCTTTCATTCCCTGCTCCTGTCGCACTGCTGGACACCCTCTTTCCTCCTGGGCTCCCATCTCACCTCCTCACTTACTCTGACTAAACTTCTTAAGGGCAGAGAGGTGCCTACTTGCCAGACCCAGCTTAGCCCTCTGTCTCCCCCAGGTGCTGTGGCTGTGGGTCGCCAGGAGCGAGTATCATTGATCCTGGTGTGGGACCTGACAGATGCTCCAACCCTGTCCCGAGCCCAGGGGCTGGTGAGCCCTGTGGTGGCGTGTGGTCCCCATGGGGCCTCCTTCCTGAAGCCATGCACACTCACATTCAAGCACTGTGCCCAACAGCCCAGCCATGCCTGCACCTACAGCAGCAACACAGCCCTGCTGGATGCCAAGGCCTGGAGGCCCCTGGGCCGGCCGGGTGCCCATACCTCCCGGGACGAGTGTCGTATCTTGCTCTCCCACTTCAGGTAGGCAGGTGCCTGCTGACCTGTTCTGCCCTGGTATCTCTAATACTGTTATTTCCTCTGCCTCATCCTCATCTCTCTATAGAACAGCCCCTTTATCTGTCCAGGATGGCCTGCCAATCCCTTATGCCCCTGTGCCCCTCTCCTATGTTCATGGCAGCTCATTTCATTCCACTCCTACATGAGACTGTGTACCCCATTGCTGTCTCTCTGCCCATAGGGAGGTGTCTGACTGTCTAGAGACCCACCTCTGTCTCCCTATAGCTGTCCCTTTCTACCCTGTGCCTTTTGTCAAGGACTGACCCTAAACTGTTTAGGACAGTTTGTCCCCTCCAATCCCACCTCATGTCTGTCCTCTATCTCTGACTTTCTAGGATCTTAAGTCCTCTGCCTCCCACTGTCCTTGCCATCTATTGACCAGAGCAGGGCCATATGTGGAACTCTTCCCAATCATGGGGACCATGAGCCCACCTTCCCTGATTCCACTGCCAGAGAATATGTGCTGGTTCTTCTTCCCACTTGGTGACAGTCACCATGACATTCTCACTTCTTGACTATCTAGCCACTGCACACATCAGGTCCTCCCTTGATGTTCCTTTGGAGTTCTCTCCTAGCCCCCACAAAGGCCCCTTGGGAGATGACTGCCTGGTGGTAGATGCCCTGGGGTCTCTGCCATTGTCTCTCTCCACAGCCTCTACACCTGTGTTCTGGAGGCACCTGTGGGCCAGGCTGCCCGCAAATGGCTGCAGCTGGCTGTGTTCTGCTCCCCATTGGCACCGGGGCAGACACACCTGCAGCTGCGAGTCTACTTCTTGAACAACACACCCTGTGCCCTGCAGTGGGCCATGACCAATGAGCAGCCCCATGGTGGGCGCCTACGTGGGCCCTGCCAGCTCTTCGACTTCACTGGGGCCAGAGGTGACCAGTGCCTGAAGCTCAAGTACATCTCTGAGGGTGAGGGAGGGGGCATCTTGGGCACAGGGAAATAGGGAATCCCATGAGAAAGAGAGGTTCAGGGCCTACCCTGGGCTGGAAGTTCAGGAACCCTAAGTTTCTTTCTCGGACTCCTGGGCTGGACACAGTCTCAAGGAGTACTCCTGGATTTTGTGGCTACCTCCAGGAGCCCCAGGCTCTGTCCACATCCTTCCTATGCTGCCCATTCTGCCCTTGCCAGCCACTCCAGGACAGGGTGATGCCAGATGGGAGGTGGGAGGAGAGGGGTTATGCCTGCAGGAGCAGGGAGTGAAGGGTAGCTGGGATTGGGAGCCATGTTCCCAGTCTTCTCTGACTGGACCCTCTTTTCCTAATGGTGGAGCTGCTGGCATTGCTCATGGGACACACTGCATTTCTGCAGTTCTAGACAGGGAACATGGTGCATGGCTGCTTCTGGGGATGATGTAGGAGGTGGAAGTCTGTGGGGAGGGTGATGGCCTGTATGCTCTGTGTGCGTGAGTGTGTGTGTGTGTGTGTGTGTGTGTGTGTGGCAGGGAGTATATGATATAGAAGAAGCAAGGTCACTCTGGGGCTCCCACCCAGGTCAATGAATTCCCATTTACTTAAGACCCTCCTGCCTTCACATGTTCTCATGCCTCCCCACAACCTCTTTAAAGCTTTACGGAAGGCCCATCTCTATTGTTCTCTGCCTCCTCTCTAGGTTGGGAGAATGTGGATGACAGTAGTTGCCAACTGGTTCCCCATCTCCACATCTGGCATGGAAAGTGCCCCTTCCGCTCCTTCTGCTTCCGGAGAAAAGCAGGTAGTCCAGAAACCCCAAGTTCACTTCCTGCCCTCCCATTTCCCTTCCCTTCTCAGCAGCCCTGTAGTGGGGTGCTCTGCAGTTCCACCTTGGTTGTGCACATACTTTTTAAAGGTGAGGAACCACAGCAGATCTTTACAGAGAGACGGGCAGCGAATCCTATCTTGCTTCTTCAGAGTCCCCAAAGTCTTCCTGTAGAGTCCCTTTGACTTTTTTGCACTCTTCCCCATGTCTTTTCCTCTCTCACCTACTGTGTTCTCACCATTTCTTTGTAGCCAATGATAATGAGGACTGCTCAGCGGTAACCAATGAGATCATTGTCACCATGCACACCTTCCAGGATGTGAGTTGTGTTGAGGGGCAGAGAAAGAGGAGGGCCTGTGGGAATCCTGGGTAAAGTGGTTGAGGGGTCTGGTGTCCAGATTAAGCACATAATCAACAGAGGGAGATGGTATTTTTCACAGCCATACCAGCTCTTTGAGGAACTTTGACCATCTGCCTCCAAGTTATCCTCCATCCCTGACTCTCTTGTCTACCAATGGATGATTGCAGCCGGAGGTTAAAAGAACCAAACCTTAGATTAACACCTTCTGCCAACTCAGGGGAACTGGGGCACCAAAGAGGCCTGGCCTCTTCCAAGGCTGCTATCTGTACCTGAGATAATGCTTTGTATCTTCAGTGGGAGTGACCAGGAAGGGGGTCCTGGACAGGTGGGATGGGAGTTAGGTCTCTCCCCTCCCTCCCACAGCCTCAAGGGAAGATATGAAGAAATCGGGGTTGAGAGTCTGGGGAACCATGGTGGCATCTTAGTAGAAGGTAGGCAATGCCCTCATGTTGACACTTGGGAATAAAAGTTGGGTTGAAGGGAAGGGGCCCCAAAGCCTGAGTCGGGTATATCTATTATTGGATGACCTCTTGTGCCCCATGACTCCATCCAGGACTTCTCCTGGCAGATTAAGATATACTGTTTGGTCTTCATTGTTCCCAAAGGGATCAGTGGTAAAACTTATGGCTGAATGTGGGGTTCTGGTGTCAGGGAAGCAAAGGGTAGAGAGTTCTGGGTGGGGTGGGTTGTATCTCCTGTGACGTGGTTCTGGGTGACAGGCTGAGGAAAGGCATGAGGAATGGAGCTAGGCCCCAGCTTCTTACTCATGGGGGCATCTTTTGACCTCTAAGTGTGTTCCCTGCCCCTCTGTTGACTCAGGGCTTGGAAACCAAGTATATGGAAATCCTCAGATTCCAGGCATCAGAGGAGGAGTCCTGGGCAGTGCCACCCCCTGTCACCCAGCCACCGCCTTGCAATAGGTGAGACAAAGGTTGTCTAGGGGATGCTTGGGATTCCTGCTCCAGCACCCACAGGTCAAGTACAGCATTGGTGGCTGGCATAGGAGAATCAGACTGGGTCTCTTTGGTCCTTCCAAGAATACACTTTCCCCTTGTCCTAGGCTGCCCCCAGAGCTCTTTGAGCAGCTACAGATGTTGTTGGAGCCAAACAGCATCACAGGAAATGACTGGCGACGACTGGCCTCCCACCTGGGGCTCTGTGGCATGAAAATACGGTAAGAAGGGCAAGGTCTGTGGATGGAAGTAGAGGGTGGACTGGTCTGGGGGTTCCTAAGGTCATCCTAGGAACTGGACCACAAACAAGGGGATGACTTAAAGTTAGAGAATGACCACTCCCTACCTTATTCTCCACAGAAGGGCAGCAGCTCTTTCTATCTTCAGTACCTAGAGTGATGCCTGACTCATAGCAAGTGCACAATAAATATTTAAGAATGAATCAATTACCACGTGAGTCATTGGGTACTAGTGAGCTTGCCACACTGGCCTGAGTAGAACAGCAGATTACAGGATGATATTTGTAAAGCATGTAGCTGGGTGCCTGGCACATGTTACCTTAGTGAGTGTTAGCAATCATGGTGGCAATGCTGCCATGGTGTCTGTCAAGTAACTCACAAAGGAATGAGTAGGAGAACAATTCTGAGCAAGGTCCCAGAGCCCAGGCTGAGTGCAGTAGTCAGGGAAGACTTCATCTAGGAGTGGGGCCAGAGCTGGGCCTTGAAAACAGGGTGGTTTTAAAACCCAGCCATCTATTTGAGTATTTATCAAGCACCTATTTAGTCCTGCTAAGTACTGGGCTATAAGAAGAATGAAATATGCTTTCAGTTCTCAGGCGCTTATGCTCTCTATGTAGTAAGGGATACAGAATGCATAAAAACAAAGGCAAGTGCTCTTTGTATCCAATGTTGCATAACACATACTGAAGACAGACACAAAATAGATGAGGCAAGAATATCTGAGCTGTGACCAGAGAGGGGCCAAGAGTAGACAATCAGAAAGGGTTTGAGTGTAGAGGAGACTGGAAGAGGAAATCAGTCTTTCTGTCTGAGGTGGTTATGAGTGTGGTGTGTGCAAGGTGAGACAACAGGGCTGAGGATGAAGGAGTTCAGGGTAGGAGGAAGGGAGGACAGTGGAGAAAGGCAGAGCATGGCTGGGCTGTGGATGAACCAGTAAGTCAGGAGTGTGGGCTTGGTTAGTAGGCAAAAGAGACTGTTTTTTGAGAGCCAGAGGGTCATGATAGAATCTATAGTTTAGAGCACCTGATTCCTTACTAGGGGATGGGATGTCAGCTCTCTGACCTGGAAGAGGGAGGAAGGAGGCAGTCAGGAGGCCTAGGTGACACAGGAGTGTGTTTGGGCTGGGGAAAGAGGAAAAGGCCATTTCAGAGCCTCAGAGTTGGAAGCAACCTTAGATATCCTCTTATGCAAGCCCTGTGCTCAGTAAGAGGAAACTGAGGCCCAGGGAGGAGCAGGACCCAGGGAGATAGATGACTCTAAGCCAGGACAGGCTCAAGTTTCAAAGTCCTGAATCCCCTGGAAGGCAGGCAAGAGTAGGAGGAGGACCAGAGCTCTGGTGGGAACCGGGGGTGTGATGGGGGGGGGCGGAGGTGGATGGTGGGCCTTGCTGCTGTGCTTGGAGAAGACTGGGATCTGTCTCTGCTCTCTCCCCCGCGACCCACTTGGGGCTAGGTTCCTGTCCTGCCAGCGCAGCCCCGCGGCAGCTATCCTGGAGCTGTTCGAGGAGCAGAACGGCAGTCTGCAGGAGCTGTACGACCTCATGATCACCATGGAGCGGCTGGACTGCGCCTCCGTCATCCAGAGCTACCTGAGTGAGCCACCCGGTGGCAGCCCGGCCCGGGCCCGCGGCGGCGCCCAGGAGAACCAGGCCCTGGAGCTGAACGAGAAGCTGTGAGCGCCCGGGGCGGCGCGGGGCGGGAAGAAACGCCGCAGCTGTGACTGGTGTCTCCCACCGTTCCCCGCCAAGCCAGCGGACCGTGCCACGGCCACCTTCGAGACCCGATCGCCCTCCACCCGGGAACTTTGGCCCGAATGCAGGTCCCATTCTGGCCGCCAGGAGGCGCGGGAGCCCGGGAAATGGCCACAATCCGGCTATCTTCCAGAACGCTATTTAATAGACCAGCAGACTGCAGGTGGCCCTGTGGGCACGCCTTGGCAATAGTTCAGTCCACAAGTATTCACTGAGCACTTAGTAGGTCCCAGCACTGGGCTGAGATCACGGGGAGTACCCGAGTATTTAAACTAGAGCCTCGATGACAAGCAGTTCTCTTGCAGGAATCAAGCTGTCCCCACAGGAGCTGAGGGCAAAGGGTAAAGCAGCACATTCAAGCATCCCTGCGGCTAGGGAGTGTGGTCAGCGTGGAGCTGGCCTTCCCTTTAGGAGTTGGGAAGTGAGGGAGCTGATTATATGCTGGAGGAAAGAGAAGGCTGGCAGGAGAATATTGGGAGACATCTTTGGGTGGGGAATTCAGGGGAAGGGAGTGATTGCACTGGGTAGGAGCCAAGTGTGAACCTGGAGGGCTGCAGACAATAAGGAGCCCTCCTGATGGGTCCAGGGAGGGTGGCAGGACGTTCAAGGCCAGATCTAGAGATGGGCAGGTATATCTGCTGTTCACCATCTCCTCTACCTTTGTGTCTTCATGCCTGGCTCACACCTTGTCTTCCCTCTCTGCCATTATCTTTCCACAAAACATTAAAACTGAGAAGAAACCTCAGAATTAACATTCTTGTTCAACCCTTATATCCCTTCATTGCCAACTGTGTGAGTTTCAAGTCTCTGACTTCATTTTTCTGCTTTTGTTTCCTGCAGTTGCTCCATCTCTGGATGGGTGGGTATGTCATTGTGTTAATCAATGCCTTAGTGTCGTTTTTTTCCTTTACCTGGTTACCGTGCCCCGTCTTTGAGTGTTTCTTCCTCTATCTGAAATCCTTAGTCATTCCCCTCAGGCGAGCATCTCCAGACTCATGTCATGTATCAAAGGCTATTGAAAGAGCCGGGGCTAGCCTAGGAATGAATGAGTGGGTTATTTCCCCATGGATCAAGATCCAGTTTAGGGTCAGGAAATAAAGACTAGGGGTTAAAGAACACCACAGAAAAAGTACTTATTCAGCACCTACTGTGTGTGAGACACTGCTACAGAAGAGATGAATACAGAAGAGATGAATAGGCTGCGTCCTGAAGAGAGAACAAAGGACTTGGCTCAATGCAAGCAATGCCTTTGTTTACAAACAGGTGTTGTTAATTTGCCCAAGGGCAGGCAATCTCTCTGGTAACACTAACAATTCACTTCTGTATTTAAAAAATTAATGCTTTTAAAATGATGAACAATATTGTGTGGTAAAATATGAAAATTGCCTTTCTTTGTTACTGGCTGTATTTTGTTCAGATTGGTCAATTTGGATGTGGGTATGAATGGTTTTGTGTGGAAAATTATACCTATGGGGATGGGTTGGAGGGAGGGAGTTGGTACATTGTGCTTCCTGTATGAAAATTGTCCAGCATGGTAAATCAGACAGGTCATTTCCCTTTTGTTAGAAGCAAGCCTTCAGAGTCAAACCCCTCCATCCCCTGCCCCGCTCCTTGAGCCCCAGTTGTCTTCTCCCATCCTCCTCTTCACTCCTCCCCACCTCACTGGGTTTTTTTGCCTATCACTCCAGGTTGGTGTCTTGACCTTTTCCCATGTTACTTGACTCAGGATTGGACTATGAAAAGCTCCTTCCTCTCCCCATGCAGTCCTGGCAGTTTTTCCAGGAGTTCCCATGGGCTCTTCCCTGTCCCTCAGGCCAGTCAAATCCATCTTTGTACTTCTTCCTATCCTGGAACACATTGTTTTAAGTTGTAAAAAGAAGCCATGGGTTGGGTGTGGGTGTGGGTGGATGTGGGTGTGGTTGTATATTGGTGTGGGTGGGTGGGGCGGGAGGTGTTTCCCCATGGTGGGATAAAATGCTTTCTGGTCCCTAGTTCATTTTCTCAGAATGGGTTCCCAGGGCTGGCAAAGGGAGTCTTGGAAATCCTAGGGTAGGTGCAGGCTATGAGATTCCTGTAGGGGAATCTTTCCTTATTCAAGTCAAACCCATTGGCTTATATTTACTGATACCTAAAGCCAAAAGGGTGTGTTCCAGTGGGTGTCAGGAGATGTAGCGCTTAGCCCTTGCTCTTGGGCTGCCTAGAACGGCTCTCATCTTTCTGGACTTCAGTTCTCACCCTTGGAACAAAGCCACTTTGCCTCCTCCCCCTTGCCAAGCCTCCTCCCCCCGATTGAGCCCACAGACTGGGCAGATTGCACACTGGCGGCCCACAACTGGTTGCTGCCTGTGGTCTTACCTCTAGCTCTTTCCCTGATAGGTTATCTGCCTGATCCCTAAAAACAAATTCAATGACTTTTGCTCTGATGCTCCCCCATTGGGTTTAGAGTGTGTGAGTGGAATGGGTGAATGAGAGGGTAAGGTTGGGCCTAGATCTGTGGAATTAGAGCCTCCAGTGCTCAGAGCTAATCCCTGCTCTCAGAATCCCTCTAACTGCTGGGTGATATAAGCACTGACTCCTAGGTCTGTGCTGTCCAATAGAAATATAACAAAAGCAACATATATAATTTTACATTTTCTAGTAGTCACATTGAGAAATGTAAAAGGAAACAGGTAACATCAGTTTGAATAATATATTTTGTTTAAACTACTATATCCAGAATATTATCATTTCCGCATATCATCAGAAAATGAATGGTATATTTTAAATAATTTTTTCATATTAAGTACATCACAATTTGTATGCTGCTAGAGTTTGGATCTGAAACGTGCCCCAAAGATACATGTGTTAAAAGCTTGGTTCCCAGCTTGTGCTATTGTGCTGGTGGAACCTTTAGAAGTAGGGTCTAGTTTGAAGAAATTAAGTCATTAGGGGTGTGCCCATAAAGAGGCTATTAGTATGCGGATCCCTTTCTTTCTGCTTTCCAGCTACCATATGTGAACAGGTCTCTTCCACCACATGCTCCAGCCATGATGTACTATGCTGCCACAGGCCCAAAGTAGAAGGGCCAAGTGTCCATGGACTGAGATCTCTGCAACAATGAGGCAAAAAATGGAGTAAGTCAAAATTTTAAGTTCATTGGAACAATTCCTCATTTGCACGACATTTCAAGGGATTATGGATCCAACTTTACAGTGTACTTGCACCTCAATCTATCCATCAAATATTTGCTGAATATCCTGATTATGCTAATCCCTGCACAATTTGTTGGTGATAAAAATTAAATGAAGGAACCCATCTTATTCTGTAGGAGCTCTGGGATGGTGGGAGTTAGAGGGAAGGGCACTTTCCTTTCATGCTTCCTTGCATTTGACTTGAGGAGGTGGCAGTGGGGTCCAGACCCGCACTCTTGGCATAGGAATGGTTCACTCTGCAGCCTGGTGGAGAGGCAGTGGAGTCTGAGTCAGGTGTTCCTTGGCTTACCTAGCACCTCAGGTGGGCTGTCGGTTGCTGACAACAGAATCTACTCTGCCTGGTCGTGGCAGATGGGATTTCTTATAAGATACTGAAGGATAAACAATCGTCCAGAGGACTGGAAAACAGATCTGAGATAAAGTTTCCAGGAATGGTGTTCTAAACTGTACTCTAAGACCAGCTCATGGAGGAACCATGACTGCTTCTACTGAGCATCACTAACGTTGGCATCTTGATCCTGGATTTCCCAGCTTGCAGACCATGAGAAATAAATTTCTGTGGCTTGTAAGCTACCAGGTCTATGGTATTTTTATTATAGCAGCCTAAACAGACTAATACAATAAGCTCACTAACACTGATGAATTGGTTTATTCAGTGCCTCCTTTCACCCCATGTGCCTTCTTGAGGCTGAAACACAAATTACATTCCCCAGACTTCTTAAGAGTTTAGATATGTTTGTATTCTGCCAATCGACTGAAGTCAGGTAGGACTTTGATTTGGAATTGGAACAATGTGGGGTGTTAAAAAGGAAATGAAGCTGGTGTTTATTTTGAGGGGCTATAAGTTTGACTTAGAGTGTATTCCTTCAGTCTTCCCAGTGATTTGTGAACAGTGTTTCCACAATATATTGTTCATGCTTCAACTAGCCAGAGAGGACTACACAGTGCACAATAAGGACCCCTGTCCAATGTGCCAGTGATTCTTTCTCTGGACAGTCTATCTTCACTCTGAATCATACTCTTCCTATTTGATTGGTAGTAAAGAGTCTATAATATCATGAAAAGATATTACGAGAGGCCATAGTATTAAAATGTCTCCATTAGACAAAATAAAAATGTAGTGATCCTAAATTGACTTCACTCTCCCCCAATTAAAAAATAAAACAAAAATACAAAACAGAATGTTTGTTTAGTGAGACCTGTCATTCTTATTCACCTTTTTTAAAGCCTTACACAATTATGCTTATTGATGTACTCAGGATACATTTGACTGCTTACTCTGTACTGAGGATCACGGTGGGCCTTCATTTATTTTCTTATCTTTGGGCAATCTTCCTCATGCTGGCTTTAATCCACCCTACACTAGTTTCTTGTTGGTAGAGATGTTATAGCTTCTGGCCAACAAAAAGCTAACATCAATTCTAGCTGGTTACTGTCATCATGTTATAAAGATATCAGCCCAAGGACAGGAATATGCTTCATATTACTTATCAGCCTTCAGGTGGGAATGGATTCAGTTTCCAAACACACTAGGAAAGATACAACCAGAAAATGAAGAACAGTGTTTGGGAAATGCTCAAGAGGGTGAATATGGGATTATAGAAAAGTTCCTTAGTGGAGCAGAGAATGGAGATGAGGATGGGGAAGGGCCCAATCCCTGACCATTCTGTCCTCCGGAATCCTGGATAAATATAATGAACATACACAATAGGGAAGGGAACCCAGTAGCGTTGA